CTATTTTCATAAAACTAGATAATTAATTATGCAGATTTGTAAGTTCAATATGAAGGAGTAAAATGAGATCTCAAATAACCAGACTTTGAAGGCCCAAGTACATGTATTTCTCAAAGATAGACATTTACATTTTTGACCATGGTTTTCCATGCAAACATGACTTATATTAGAAATCACACTTAATAAGATAATTATGCAAATTTATAAGGTCAATACGAGGGAGTTTAAGTGAAATTTTGAATAGCCAGACTTTGAAGACCCAAGTATTTCTCCAAGATATACATTTTTGACCAAGCGTTTCCCTGCGTACATGACTAAATTTTTAAAATCACACCAAATTAGATAATTATGCAAATTTGTAATTTGAATATAAGGGAATTTAATGAATTTTCGAAAAGCGAGACTTTGATGACCCAGGAATTTTTTCAAGATGTTCATTTTTTACCAAGATTTCCCATACAAACTTGAATATTTTAAGAAATTACCATTAATTAGATAATTAATTATGCAAATCAGATTATAAATTAGATCATGTGTGGGAGCTGTTTGCATTTTACGAAACATTTTTTCATACAACAACATCACAAGCCATTAATTAAGTCTCATATATCACAGAAATTGGATAAAACAAGGATTTTGCTATACCCACAGTCATCCCTTTGGTGCCAAACCATTAATAAAGAAAAACAAAAGATGACCTTTGACCTCTTGGCTAAATTTGTCTCCTTTTTGTGAGATATAATTGCCCATTACTCCGTGATGCAATGTCGTATTTAAAAAATTCCAACGGATTTCTTCTAATGAAGACCTGCTCTATCAGATTCTGTGCTTTTAAAATGCAATTTCCTACTTCAAAAATGTCCCCTGGACAATACCAATTTCTATTGACACAGTTCATCTAAAATATGACAATTCATCTGTGACCACGCATGACATGACATTGTACACAATACGATTTTGGAACATACCGGGCACATGCACACTGGACCACTGTGCTGTCGTTGGGCCGGCCAACTATAGCACGCTAGTTGGGACAGGCCCAACTATAGTTGAGACTGGCTCAACTATAGTTGGGACCGACCCAACTATATTTAGTTGGGAATGACGCCATAGTTTTGGCATAACATTTGCACTCTTGTCAGTCTCGATATTGATAGCTAATTAATTAATCAGCTCTAACTGGAGCACTCAAAGAGTATTACAAGTAAGCCCTGATATTTTCTTATTTTATTTCATTTATTTATTTTTTGATTCACTTGGTTATTTTTATGTTAGAGGTGGCCTTGGATCAAGTTTCAGATACATGCCTTCACATTTTCTTTTAAAATGCTAGCCTCCGAACATGTTGGCCGATCATCCAAGCCTGTCTTTACTTTACTGGATTGATGACTATTTCTTGGTGGCTGGATCATTGAGGAAGCATTTCATCTGTATTTAAACAGGATGCTGTCAACATGTTCTATGACAGTGATCGGCCAGCAGGAGCTGCTGATGATAATGGTGTTTCGCAGGGGGCAGAGACTTCACACAACCCTGCGGAGGAGGGGGAGCCATCACATGAAACCCACCAAATCTCCGAGGGGGATGGATCTCAGGAATATGCTTCAGTAAACCGGTTAGTATTGCCATGTTGAAGACTTGAAGTCACTACTCAATACAGTATTGTCATACATGGTGCAGAAAACTAACTCTATCAACAACAATAAAGTGGCTATGGATGATAGATACTTTGGAAAATACATGTGCTCTACTGTTTCGAGTACCAACTTTTTTTTCTTCCCTTTGGAGAATGTGTAGAGTTCATTAATTGAGCTTTAAACTCTTGTTACAGAAAACAGGCAGTTCATACAGCCCAAGCATCCTCATCAAAGACCAACGAACCTTCCCCTCTTTCCAGCAGAGTTCGTCTTATCACGTGGAACATTGATGGTTTAGATGAGAATTGTAGAGTAGAGCGTACCCAAGCTGTATGTGAAATCCTTGACAGGTTGGTGGAGTGCCTTGAAATCAGGGCTGTTGTGTGTCAGCCTGTGGCTTGCAGATAGAATTCACGATCACAGTATCAGAACCTTGCTGAGGGTGCATTCAGTTATCTTCCGTGATGAGTTGACTCAGGTTTAACCTTGTCTCAACAGTCTCATTTGTTTGACATGGCACACATGGCCATCCCCAGGTCTGGTTTTGCTCTGTGTTAGTTAATTGAACACATTATAAAACTGATGAATCCCAATGCAGTGCCTACCAAGAGGTTGCCATGGAGAGGCCTTTTTTGTAGCCCATTGTTGGGAAGTAGTCAACAAGGTTCTGTTCACTGAATTTGAATTGTTCCCATGTTTGTCTGGGTTGAAGATTTGACAGTATTTTGAGTGTTGGTGTTAATTGATGGCTTTTGTGAGGCAAGAAAATTGAAGGAATGCCTTGATCTATCAAGTATTTCCGCAAGGTATCTACTGACAGTCACTTAAATGGAACTTACAGCAAGTCAGTCTTTGTTGTCGACCGTAAACTTGAAAAAAATGGCCTGTCTGTGGCTACCTGTGTGTGGCACACTGTATTGTGAGTCACCTGTATTGGGTGTCAGCAGCTGATAACATCGTCATCTGTCACACTACAACACCTGAATAAACCACATGACCTTGCTTACTACACGTGCTTAGGATGGAATGTAGTGCTGTGGTTCTTGGCACTGACTTATTGAATTCCACTCTTACAGTTGTAATAGTTTCTTCTCCTGGGCCACCATCTGTGAGCAACTTTTTCTGGATATCACTGAAATATTTGTTCTCTGAGCTTACACATACCTTACCTTCCCATTATTTTTTGTTTAATTGAAAGGTATGCTCCAGATATCATCTTTCTTCAAGAGGTCATCCTAGAGACTTGTAATAC